GGTTGTGCCAGTCAGTGCCGCCAGTCAGTGCCCAGAAGTGATGCCAGTCAGTGCCGTCTATCAGTACCCATCATCAGTGTCACCTATCAGTGCCGCCTATCAGTGCTGCATATCAGTGCCGCCTATCCGGGACCCCTAATTAGTGCTGTCTATCAGTGTGCCGCCTATCCGTGCCACCTCATTAGTACTGCCTATCAGTGCCCTTTAGTGCTGCCTATCAGTGCCGCCTATCAGTGCCCATCAGTGCCGCCTCATCAACGCAAATCAGTGAAGGAGAAAAAATACCTGTTTGAAAAATTTTATAAAAGAAACAAATAAACTTTTTTTTTTTTTTCAAATTTTTTGCACATTTTTTAATTTATAGCGCAAAAAGTAAAGCGCCCAGTGGCGATTAAATACCACCAAAAGAAAGCTCTATTTGTGAGAAAAAAATGATCAAAATTTCATATGGGTACAATGTTGCATGACCGCGCAATTGTCAATCAAAGTGCGGCAGCGCTGAAAGCTGAAAATTGGCCTGGTAAGGAAGGGGGTATAAGTGCCTGGTAGGCGAGGGGTTAATTAAAAAAAAGATTAAGTTTTTTGAAAAATAATACTGTTGCTATGTATTATGAAATGTCAGTGTAACGGAACCGACCCAGTCTGCGCTTGGGTACTTCCGTTATAATACCGCTTCCCCGTCCGAACACCGACCACAGACACCACCGCTGACCATACAAGACGAGACGACACCAGTCTTGAAGGAAACCAGGAAATAGACTACTTTATTTTAACACAGATACAAGATATATACATTCAAGGGAACAACCCCCCTCCTTGCATAATGACACAGGGCAGGGCAATCTACCTTTAGTAACAAGAGACACACCAGCAGACAGTCCCATCAGGAGGGAGGGCTGCTGGAGACACCCCCCTTCCCACCAAGCCAATACACATAAACACATACACCCCATAATAGTTTGCTCCCAAACAAGACACACAATAGAACAATGGGATGCAACCACATGGCATTAAACAATCAACAACCCCCCACCCCAATATTAGGACAGATCACCCTGTACCCCTAACAGGCAAAGGGTGACTTACACATAAGAGGGATATGGGGAGCTGAGACAGGGCATCTCCCCACCTCTCGAAAGTGAGCTGTGTTCCATGGGCCCCCCACCCAAAGTGACTCCTGTCACAGTCAGGGATGCATCTATGAAGATTTGTTACTGAAATGTTCACTTTAAGTGATAGCACTGAATCAATGGCAGCCTCCCATTAGCCATTGTCATGTCATTGGTACTGGCTGGTCCCATAGATTAGCCGCCCTTTTGGTATCTTAATGATGTCATTGGCTCAACTTCTCATATATCCCACAATATGGCTTCTTTTTTACTGCACATAAGTAAGCATGCCTTAACTGGGGATTCAGCTGGCATTAATCCATCACCGTTCCACCGACATCCCATCCATCATCTGACATTTTCTGGTGGAAAAGCTTTCAAGACTTCAAGCGTGATGGAAGAGCCTCCCGTGCACAAGCCGCCATCGGCAGGATGCGCACCAAGAAAACGCCTTGCCGTCTGAAGAAAATGGCCCAGCTCAGGGAACATCTCCTACATTCGTCATCCGCTGCACCCCCCCCTTCAATATGCCCCCTCGCCAACCAAACATTTATTATCATGCCAATAATATCCCTTTCTCCTCAGATGCACCACCTCAGATAAAAAAAAAAAAAAAAACCAGGAGCCAGCTTTTCATGAATAAAGATGGTTTCACGAGCGTTCGTCACAGGATTGCCGAGAATCGGGCCCCGCTGTTCGCTTGTTGTTTTTATAAGCTTTGTCATATCTTCTCATTGATAGGATCTGGACACCAAGTTTCCCTTTCCAAGTAATGATCTGCATTAAGATAAAAGGGTTGTTTTGATTCATGGCTCCCTTTTTTTTTTTTTCAAGGTTCCTAGTCCTTTAATGCCTTACCGTTCACAATTTACCGTGGAATTTCTAGATAAAGCGAAACAACATTCAGATATGGAATACAATCTGTGATTTTATTCCGCCGCTTTATCCCTTTTTTTATGTTGTTATTTGCAGGAACACGAACGTTTAAAAGCATTTTTACTGAACTAGTATGTTACAGGGTTGGATTTTTTTTTTGTAATCTGCTTTTAAAGCTGTTATGTTGCTAAATGTAGTGTGGTGGCAAGGTTAGAGCTATACTCAAATGTTCTTTTGTACCTCAAAAATTGGTATGAAAAAAAAAAGTTATTCAAATCAGTTTGTTGGAAGAAGTGTTTCGGTGATATCACGTGCTGGAACCAGTTGTCCAATGTTTTCAGCTACACAAAACAACTATGATTTTACATGTTTCTGAGTGGTGTCACTGCTTGGTGGGACAGATTGTCCAGCCAAATGGCCACCACCACGGACCTCTTAGCCTCAGATGTCTAGAGCCACCGTTCTCAACCGTAAAGCTGTTATGTTGCTAAAAGTAGTGTGGTGGCAAGGTTAGAGCCAGGGGCGGACTGACCATTTGGAAACTCGAGCACTGCCCGAGAGCCCGTGGTCAGTAGGGGGCCCCATGAGATGCCTCTGGTACCTTTTTCATAGGCTTTTTTGAGTTTGGGCAAGGACACAGGGGCCCCATGATCCACTATTGCCCGGGAGCCCCATGAGTTGTCAATCCACCCCTGGTTAGAGCTATACTCAAATGTTCTTTTGTACCTCAAAAATTGGTATGAAAAAAAAAGTTATTCAAATCAGTTTGTTGGAAGAAGTGTTTCGGTGATATCACGTGCTGGAACCAGTTGTCCAATGTTTTCAGCTACACAAAACATCTATCGTTTTAAATGTTTCTCAGTGGTGTCACTGCTTGGTGGGACATATTGTCCAGCCGAATGGCCACCACCACGGACCTCTTAGCCTCAGATGTCTAGAGCAGAAGTAGTGTGGTGGCAAGGTTAGAGCCAGGGGCGGACTGACCATTTGGAAACTCGGGCACTGCCCGAGAGCCCGGGGTCAGTAGGGGGCTCCATGAGATGCCCCTGGTACCTTTTTCATTGGCTTTTTTGAGTTTGGGCAGGGACACAGGGGCCCCATGATCCCCTATTGCCCGGGGGCCCCATGAGTTGTCAGTCCGTCCCTGGTTAGAGCTATACTCAAATGTTCTTTTGTACCTCAAAAATTGGTATGAAAAAAAAGTTATTCAAATCAGTTTGTTGGAAGAAGTGTTTCGGTGATATCACGTGCTGGAACCAGTTGTCCAATGTTTTCAGCTACACAAAACATCTATTGTTTTAAATGTTTCTGAGTGGTGTCACTGTTGGTAGGACAGATTATCCAACCAAATGGCCACCACCATGGACCTCTTAGCCTCAGATGTCTAGAGCAGCCGTTCTCAACCGTAAAGCTGTTATGTTGCTAAAAGTAGTGTGGTGGCAAGGTTAGAGATATACTCAAATGTTCTTTTGTACCTCAAAAATTGGTATGAAAAAAAGGTATTCAAATCAGTTTGTTGGAAGAAGTGTTTCGGTGATATCACGTGCTGGAACCAGTTGTCCAATGTTTTCAGCTACACAAAACAACTATGATTTTACATGTTTCTGAGTGGTGTCACTGCTTGGTGGGACAGATTGTCCAGCCAAATGGTCACCACCACAGAACTCTTAGCCTCAGATGTCTAGAGCAGCCGTTCTCAACCTTAAAGCTGTTATGTTGCTAAAAGTAGTGAGGTAGCAAGGTTAGAGCCAGGGGCGACTGACCATTTGGAAACTCGGGCACTGCCCGAGAGCCTGAGGTCAGTAGGGGGCCCCATGAGATGCTCCTGGTACCTTTTTCATAGGCTTTTTTGAGTTTGGGAAAGGACACAGGGGCCCCATGATCCACTATTGCCCGGGAGCCCCATGAGTTGTCAATCCACCCCTGGTTTGAGCTATACTCAAATGTTCTTTTGTACCTCAAAAATTGGTATGAAAACAAAGTTATTCAAATCAGTTTGTTGGAAGAAGTGTTTCGGTGATATCACGTGTTGGAACCAGTTGTTCAATGTTTCCGGCTGCACAAAACAACTATGATTTTACATGTTTCTGAGTGGTGTCACTGCTTGGTGGGACAGACTGTCCAGCCAAATGGCCACCACCACAGACCTCTTAGCCTCAGATGTCTAGAGCAGCCCGTTTTCAACCTTGCCAACAAAGAGGAACCTTTGAAATAAATTTCCGGGGCTCATGGAACCCCTGTCAAAAATTAATATGTCTTCAACTCCTGATACATTAGTGGTATATTCAGTGTGAAGAATGATCCCTACACATGTGGTCATTGGGAAGAATTACCCCTTTAACCTCTTGGCGCCGGCCGTATGCAAATGTGCGGCCTCCCGGCGTCTGGGCCTTGACGCTGAGTGGCCTCATAGTTGCGTGCAATTAAGAAAAACATATGTGTTGACAGCTCACGCCCTTCGCGCTCCCTGCACACATGTCTGGAACTCACGGAAACGTCCCGATCTCCTCTTTCGATCGGGACCTTTCCCGATCATGTGACCGCCGTGATGGCCCAAAACCCCAACCCCACCTCCCGGCTTCTGAAACCCTTAAAGGGGCGGGAGGGGTTAAAGATATCTAAAAAGATCAATGGTGTAAGTGGGAACTTATCTGAGAGGCAAAATTTGTTCATTGCTCTCAAAGGACCCCTAACAACCTCTGGAGCAGTGTTTCTCAACTCCAGTCCTCATGGACCCCCAACAGGTCATGTTTTCAGGATTTCCATTATTTTTTTGCACAGGTGATTTGATCAGTTTCACTGCCTTAGTAATTACCACAGCTGTTTCATCTGAGGGAAATCCTGAAAACATGACCTGTTGGGGGTCCATGAGGACTGGAGTTGAGAAACACTGCTCTGGAGGAACTCTGGTTAAGAAACCCTGGACTAGAGTCTACAGTAGTTAGATGTTGAGGAACAATAGTAACCAAGAAGCAAGAGTCGTGAATTAAGCACAATTTTTTTTTCCATCCACAGGATGAGTGCTACAATTATATTAAAGTTCTGGTGATCAAGAATGACCAAACTCTCATCGCTTGCGGCACCAATTCCTTCAACCCAACATGCCGGAACTACAAGGTAAGAGGCAATGTACAAGGTTCTTTGCTTTGGGGTAAGAGGGGGTTAAAGATGATGGCCACATTGATATTACAGCTGGTTGGTGACTACCCATTATTGCGTATACCCTTTGGTAAGTCAAGTCATCTACTGCCCCACAGAAAAATAATAGAGGCAAATGGTTAATAAAGTCCTACAACTGTTAGTGCTGCAATTTTACTAAAGTTCTGGTGATCAAGCAGGTTCCAGGCACCAGCTCCTTCAATCCAAAGTGCCAGGGAAGAGGGAAGAGGGGGTTAGAGATAAATATAGAGGATATATTACAGCTAGTTGGTGTCAACCCATTTTTGAGCATAACCTTTGGTAAGTCAAGACCTTTACTGCCCAATAGAATGATACTATAGGAAAATGGTCAGTAGAGTGCTGTGATGGCTACAATTGCTGCTACCACAATTATGATATAATTCTGGTAATCAAGAACGATCAAATGTGCATCAACCGCAGCATTGATTCCTTCAACCCAAAGTGCTATATTTACAATGTAGGAGGCCACGTACGAGGTCCTTTGTGTGTGCGATAAGGGTTATAGAAAACTGCTGAGTGGATAATTCAGCTTAGTGGTATCATGTTGGGTACTCATGTGCCCAATTGCCAAACAGAATATTACTAGAGGAAAATGGTCAATAGAGTGCTACGGTTACATTAAAGTTCTGGTAATGATAAATTACCAAACTCTCGTTGCCTGTGGCACCAATTTCTTCAACTCAACGTACCAAAACTACAACGTAAGAGGCATTGTACAAGGTTCTTTGTGTGGAATATTGGGGTTAGAGATAGGTGCGAGATAGGTGATAGAGTAGATATTATAGCTAGTTGATGCATATTCTTTCTGGTATTCAAGAACAACTGAACTCAAATTGCCTACAGCACCAATACCTTCAACCAAAAATTTGTTGAAACTGAATGGTAGGAGGCAACATCAAAGGTCCTTTATGCGTGACAAGTGGGTTAGAGATAAGAGCTGAGTGGCTATTTCTGCTTGGTGGTATCTACCCATGTTGGAGCATACCATTTGATAAGTAAAGACATCTATTGCCCAAGTGAATAATAATAAAGGAAACGATGGTCAATAGAGGGCTACAAGGTTTGCAATTATAACAAAAGAAGGGCCAAAATCTCATCGCCAGTGGCACTAGTTCCTTTAACCCAACTTGCCAAAACTATGAGGTAGGAAGCAGGGGCGGACTGACCATTTGGAAACTCGGGCACTGCCCGAGGGCCTGGGGTCAGTAGGGGGCCCCATGAAATGCCCCTGGTACCTTTTTCATAGGCTTTTTTGAGTTTGGGCAAGGACACAGGGGCCCCATGATCCCCTATTGCCCGGGGGCCCCATGAGTTGTCAGTCCGCCCCTGCTCTCCACAAAGACCCTGGAGATGAGGGTCAACCAGCTTGGGAGGTCTACATAACGTCGAAGAAACACCAACACAAGTCAAAAATTTATTTTATTAGTTCCACAAATGACAACAGGGTAACACGAGGCAGCCAACATATTTTGGAAGCCAAACAATCCCCCTTCATCAGGGCTCTAACAGGAATTTAGTATCTGAAGGACTCAGAATTAAAAATCCGAAGGTATCAACCAGAACCAGGAGGGTGAAGATCGCTTGAGCGCCTGTATTGAACGGCAGCACAGGTTTCCAAGCAACCGTCTGTCATCGTCATGTTCCCAACTAACGAGGGGGGTCACCTTTTGGCAGAAGAACAGGTCCAAGATAGTTGAAAGTTGTAACTTTCAGGGATCATTTCAAGCCCAATGACCCTTAAAAACCACCTTAGTAAAGTCTTCCAGATTGACTCCAATGGATTAAAAATCCGAAGGTATCAACCAGAACCAGGAGGGTGAAGATCGCGTGAGCGCCTGTATTGAACGGCAGCACAGGTTTCCAAGCAACCGTCTGTCATCGTCATGTTCCCAACTAACGAGGGGTCACCTTTTGGCAGAAGAACAGGTCCAAGATAGTTGAAAGTTGTAACTTTCAGGGATCATTTCAAGCCCAATGACCCTTAAAAACCACCTTAGTAAAGTCTTCCAGATTGACTCCAATGGATTAAAAATCCGAAGGTATCAACCAGAACCAGGAGGGTGATGATTCCGTGAATGCCTGTATTGAACGGCAGCAAAGGCTTCCATGCAACCGTCTGTCATCGTCATGTTCCCAACTAACAAGGGGTCACCTTTTGGCAGAAGAACAGGTCCAAGATAGTTGAAAGTCGTAACTTTCAGGGATCATTTCAAGCCCATTGATCCTTAAAAACCATCTTAGTAAAGTCTTCCAATGGATTTCGCCAAAATGGTCCATTTTAACAAAATTTTTAGATTTTTTTGTTTGTCAAAATTGGTTATAAAAAAGGTCACAATTGTTGGGCTGAGTGAATGGACATTGAGACGCCTCGTGGTTTTTAATGTAATGGTTTCATGCTACAGAACTCTTGTTTCATATTCCAGATCCAAACCTTGGAGCAGGAAGGTGAAGAGTTTAACGGCCAAGCGCGGTGCCCTTTTGACGCCAAGCAAACCAACGTGGCCCTCTTTGCAGGTGAGACGCTCTTGGTCCAAAGGTATTTAAAGTGGACCTGTCATCAAATTGATATTTTCGTGTTAAAGCGCGGTGCCCTTTTGACGCCAAGCAAACCAACGTGGCCCTCTTTGCCGGTGAGACACTCTTGGTCAAAAGGTATTTAAAGTGGACCTGTCATCAAATTAATATTTTCATGTTAAGTACACTAAGTAAGGTGTAAGCGTGAAACACTTCCATGGATTTATTTTCTCTCATGAAATTACAGTACTCCCCCTGACAATACCTACTTCGGCTTTTTTTCCCCCAGAAGAATGGAGCCATCTTTTCTCAGGCATCATACAGAACCATTATTCATTTCCTGAGTTGTGATGCCGACTCAGAGATGACCATGGCTTTTTTTTCCTCAGAGAATAGGTGCAGGAACTTCCCCTTCTGAGTCACTTCTTGTCTCCACCCCCCCCCATACCTACTTTCGAGCACCAACCCTTGGTTCCACCCCCTACCCACCTTCCAGTATCGGTCCTTTTAGAGAATACAGAGCCAAGCAGGGGTGGACTGACCACTCAAGCACTCGGGCACTGCCCGAGGGCCCGGGGCCAGTAGGGGGCCCCATGAGATGCCCTTGGTACTTTTTATAGGTTTTTTTGGGTGTGGTTGGAGTGTGGGACGAGGACACAGGGGCCCCATGATCCCCTATTGCCCCGGGGCCCCATGAGTTGTCAGTCCGCCCCTGGAGCCAAGTATCATTTTGTAGTGCTAAATTATTTGAATAGGATTTGTTGATGATAACAAAAAAAGCAGAAAAATAGATCCCCTTCAACCAGCAAAAATAGACCCTCCCCCCCTCCAAGCAACAATAGATTTTTCCAGTAACAATGGACCCCCAAAACAAAATACCACACAGGCAACAATAGACCCCCAGCAGCTACAACAGATCACCCATCAGCCATCATCAATAGACTCTCCAGCAGGCAGCAAAAAAGACCCCTCCCTCACTAGTAGATCCCTCCCAGGCAACAACTGACACCCCAGTAATAGTATATCCCCCAATAGCAACAATAGACCCCCCCCCCAGCAACAGTAGATTTTTCCAGTAACAATGGACCCCCAAAACAAAATACCAGGCAACAATAGACCCCCAGCAGCTACAACAGACCCCCAAAACAAAATACCACCCAGGCAACAATAGACCCCCAGCAGCTACAACAGATCATCCATCAGTCAGCATCAATAGACTCTCCAGCAGGCAGCAAAACAGACCCCTCCCTCAACAGTAGATCCCCCACGCAACAATTGACACCCCAGTAACAGTAGATCCCCCAATAGCAACAATAGACCACCCCAGTAACAATAGACCAGCATGCAAAAATAGATCCCCTCCAGTGACAATAGATCCCCCAGCAGCCATCAGTAATAGACATTCTAGCACCCCATGCCATTACATCAGTGGCGTCCAGAGGCAAGTGAGGGGAGTGCGGCCCGCACCGGGTGACACCGACCTCACGGGGTGACACCGGACCCGCTTCACGAAAAGGTAAATTGTAAAGAAAGCCGACAATCCCCGCAGGATGGATCTGATCTGCGGATTGAGGAGCATAATGGATTGGAGTCCGATCCATTATACTCAATCCGCAGATCCGATCCATTCTGCAGGGATCGTCGGAGGGGGTGTCACCAAGTGTTACTGCACCGGGTGACCAGGGGCGGACTGACAACTCATGGGGCCCCCAGGCAATAGGGGATCATGGGGCCCCTTTGTCCTCGCCCATACCAAAAAAAGCCTATGAAAAAAGCCAATCAAAGGTACCAGGGGCTCCTCATGGGGCCCCCTACTGAGCCCGGGCCCTCGGGCAGTGCCCAAGTGCTCAAATGGTCAGTCCGCCCCTGCAGGTGACAACAACCCTAGGAATGCCTCTGCATTACATACATGCATTCTCCCACTGAAAAAAAGCCCTGGATAAGACACAGTGATGTAAATTTTGGTGCCTGGTTCACAAATGTCTGACACAGACCAGCCCCCTGCTGCAGCCTGTCACCTTGTAACTTGCTACAAAGTTACTATGTACAGTAAAGAGTGATCAACGGAGAGGAGGAGACCGAGGAAATGTTTCCTCCTGCCTGCAGCAGCCTGGACAGCCTCATTTTAGCCTAGGCATAGTCGCTGGATTGGTGCTCCAGGACCACTTTCAGAATGTTACTGCTTGAAAAGTGAGCGAAAGGTCAGTTTTAAACACTTTAAATATTCGGTGTGTCTCCCTGAACACGAAATCTACTCGTAATCATCCTTTCCAGCACGCCCCGCGCATTTTTATGGACTCGGCACGAGACAAGGGTGAAGGAAACACACACGCCAGGCACGTCCGAGGCTTTCAGGGGCTCGCGTGCCCGAAGCACAAAGGACTTTTTAAAGCAATAAAGACGCAGCGCGAATTAATGGGGATTAGCCCTGAGGAGGCCAATAATCCTCCATAATCCTCCACTGCGCGGAATCGGCGAACGTTCTGTTTCTTCCCTCCAAAGTGGCAAATGCCCAGATTTAAAGGGTCAGTCCACCTAAAACTGATCTGTCGGTGTTTGATGGGTGCTAGAGAGTTAAAACACCCAACCCTTTAACCCCTTACAGTCCGGACACTCCCCCCCCCCCTTCCAGTCCGGACACTTCCCCCCCCCTTCCAGTCCAGACACTTCCCCCCCCTTCCAGTCCAGACACTTTCACCCCCCTTACAGTCCGGACACTTCCCCCCCCCCCTTCCAGTCCAGACACTTTCACCCCCTTACAGTCCGGACACTCCCCCCCCCCCCTTCTCCAGTCCAGACACTTTCACCCCCTTCCAGTCCAGACACTTTCACCCCCTTCCAGTCCGGACACTTTCACCCCCCTTCCCACTCCCCCCTTCCAGTCCGGACACTTTCCCCCCCTTCCAGTCAGGACACTTTCCCCCCCTTCCAGTCCAGACACTTTCCCCCTCTTCCAGTCCGGACACTTTCCCCCCCCCTTCCAGTCCGGACACTTTCACCCCCTTCCAGTCCGGACACTTTCACCCCCTTCCAGTCCAGACACTTTCACCCCCTTGCAGTCCGGACACTCCCCCCCTTCCAGTCCAGACACTTTCCCCCCCTTCCAGTCCGGACACTTTCCCCCCCTTCCAGTCCGGACACTTTCACCCCCTTCCAGTCCAGACACTTTCACCCCCTTCCAGTCAGGACACTTTCCCCCCCTTCCAGTCCAGACACTTTCCCCCCCTTCCAGTCCGGACACACTTTCCCCCCCTTCCAGTCCGGACACTTTCACCCCCTTCCAGTCCAGACACTTTCACCCCCTTCCAGTCCGGACACTTTCCCCCCCTTCCAGTCTGGACACTTTCCCCCCCTTCCAGTCCAGACACCCCCCCCCTTCCAGTCCGGACACTTTCCCCCCCTTCCAGTCCAGACACTTTCCCCCCCCTTCCAGTCCGGACACTCCCCCCCTTCTAGTCCGGACTCCCCCCCCCTTCCAGTCTGGACACTTCCCCCCCCCTTCCAGTCTGGACACTCCCCCCCCTTCCAGTCCGGACACTTTCACCCCCCTTCCAGTGCAGACACTTTCCCCCCCCAGTTCCAGTCCGGACACTTTCCCCCCCCTTCCAGTCCGGACACTTTCCCCCCCTTTCCAGTCCGGAAACTTTCCCCCCCTTTCAGTCCAGGCCAATTTTCAGCTTTCAGCGCTATCACACTTTGAATGACAATTGCGCGGTCATGCAACACTGTACCCATATGAATTTTTTACCATTTTTTTGAGACAGATAAAGCTTTATTTTGGTGGTATTTATTCACCTCTGGGATTTTTATTTTTTTGCTATATAAATTAAAAAGTCTGAAAATTTTGAAAAAAAGTGTTTTTCTTATAAAATTTTGCAAATAAATTGTATTTGATCATAAATCTTGGCCAAAATGTATTCCATTATATTTTTAGTAAAAAAAAATAACCCAAAATTAGTTTATAACCAAAAATTAGAATTTTTAAACATTTTTTTTTTATTTTTTTTTTTTTTTTTTTACATTATTTTTTATTTATTATTTTTTTTTTTTTTTAACATACTGTCACCCTAGCAGTAAAGTATCACCACTAGGGGGTGATGAAGATTTTTTTTTTTTTTTTTTACACTAATTGCTTTTACACCCATAAAGGCTGTAAAAACAATAATTTCTCCTCTCTGTCTGCATTCTTGCAGCCATTGAGAACTACTGAGTGAGCTGTGATTGGTCACAGCTTGTCACATGGTACAAGGCTGTTGTGAATGGCCCTGTACCATGTGACCTCTGTGATCATTCACAGATTTCACACATAGTAAGCAATGATGTCACAAGTGACATCTTGCTTACTACTCTGCATGTGATCACTGATTGGCCAATCAGTGATCACATGATCAGGACCTCGCACAGAGGTCCCGTAGAACGATCGGTGTTCCACTGTGTCCGGAGGACACAGCGGACACCGGATTGCGGTGCTGCGCGCTACCAGGGAGCGTGCACAAGCAGGGGGCGGGAGGCTGTTTATAAATGGCCACCCGACCCTGCACTGCCATCGTTCAGCCATTTATATACAACAGCCGGACGGGAGGTGGTTAAGACCGGCCATACATGGGTTGAAAATCGACCGATTTTTCGTCCGAAAATCGGACCTAAGAATAATCGGCCGATTTTCGCTCTGTTAGTGGGTCAATGGCACCAATCAATTTTTGTGGTTCCTCTCCTTTTGGGTGATCGTGTATGTTGGAAAATTTGTGAAAAACAACCAATTTTCGACTCGATGGTCAAATCGTACGATCGTTTTTCCGAAAAGAATATGCGCATGAGCCGTGACCAGGGGCGAACTGACTATTTGGAAACTTGGGCACTTCCTGAGGGCCCGGGGTCAGTAGGGGCCCCATGAGATGCCCCTGGCACCTTTTTCAAAGGCTTTTTTGAGTTTGGGCAAGGACACAGGGGCCCCATGATCCCCTATTGCCCGGGGGCCCCATGAGTTGTCAGTCCGCCCC